TATCGCGTCTAATTTAACTATTCAAAAAAAAAATAAAAAATTAGTTATTATTACAACTATAAGTATATACAAAGTAAGCTGACAACTATAGTAATCTCGAAGTTGATCTGCAAGATCAACACCCCTCATATAATTATTATAATCATCAATTATTCATGGAATAGATAATTCTTTTCGTGACATATTACCAAAAACTTGATAAACTTTATTAGCATTGGTGCTTGTTTTACGAGGACATTATCGATTTCGAATTATTTTCCATTCATTACCTATAATTTTATGGATAGTTGTAAGCATGGTTACTGGCCCATTATCAACCCATAATATAGCTAATACATCATTTGTAACTACTCCACTAAGTGTATTCCAATCTAATAAATGAACATTATTAGGTTTTAATTCTTTGAGAAATTTAGATGAATTGGTTCTAACAGTTCCACAGGCACTTATATTGTTTTTGCGCAAATATTTAAAAAGAGGAATACTTGAGAAATAATTATCCATATATATATGGAAATTTTTTTCCCGGGGAAGTTGATTTACCAAATACCATACTGTACATCTAGCCTTATTAATACCAGGGATTGACTCTAAATCTGTATTATCTTCGATTCGTGAACTAAACATAAATGTATACGTATATCCAGCATCACAGAGTGAAAATATTTTATAGCCTTCAGGTACAGGCTTGTTTTTCATTTTTACAGTATACATGCTGCAGCCAGAAAAGCAAATCATCATCTCATCTACAGATATTTGTGAGCTGGATACATATGATTTTTTGAACATATCTCGAAGTTGCAATGCTAATGGTTCAATTTTAGAGTACCAGTATAAAGAAGGCTCATATGGATTAGATATGTGAAGAAACCGTTTAATTTGCTAAAATCGATACATTAACATAAATTGACTATTGTTATGAATAGCTCTTTGTTCATCTGAATTCCACAAATCTACAATACCATGAATTTTGTGAATTCCCATATAAATGACTATCGCAATCCAAATCTTTAACTTCTTTAAAGTTAATAAAGTCCAAACACAACCTTTTTTTAAACTATTTGCTTGTTTTAATTTTTCATAATTATTAGTATTATTTACAATTGTTTGTAAATAATAGTCAATAAAAAATAAATGAAATAATGCAAGCGGGCTAATAGTACTTTGCTGCATTTTATGCGGCAGTGTAGCATAACCTTTATGAGGCTCTTTATGATTTTCTATTGGTTCATACACTGGCAACTCTGGAAGGATTGGTATTTTATTCGATTTGGCCCTTTTGTCTTTATCTGTCCTTTTACTAATTTTTTTTTTCCCTCTCACCTGCTCCACTTTTTCTATCTCGCTTATAAGTTTTTTCTGTACTTTCTTCATATTCAGAGTCAGTGACATTATCTTGTTCTTGGTCAGTGACATTATCTTGTTCT